GTAGATTATTCTCTCTCTCCCCCTTTCCCTCCCCTTCTTTAATTCTGTTTTTCAGGGAAGGTGGGGTTGCTTTTGCTTCGTGTGTGCAATCTCCTTTTTTCCTCTTGGGGGTCCTTGACTTTGTTCACTTTTGAGGTTGGAGTGTGGGCTGAGGGCTGTACTTTTTCAGTTTTGAGGTTTAATTGGGGGGAAGCTGTGGTTCCGTATCTATATGCTGATTTCAGCATCCACCAACTGGTGTATGAGCCCACTGGAATCTATTTCTCACTGCCTTATAATCTATCTGTGCAGTGGTATGTAGCTTTGGTCCCTGGAACAAAGGGAGGCACAAAAGAGGAAAACAATGGAGGAAGAGGGGGTCAATAGGAAGTTAGAAACAGAGAAGAGTGAGAGGGAAAACAGACCTATATACCAACTAACAGGTGAAAAAGAGACACAAGGCCAGAGAGAAGTGAAAAAAGTGCAAGCAAAATTCCCTAAAGAATACTGGTAGCTACACAAAGACAGAGCAATAAAATCATGCCTTTTGATGAATTTTGCCTAACACAAACAGATAGTGTAAGTCAAAAAGCAAACTAAAGTGACCAAAACAAACAGTCAAAATGATAAAATCAAAAGTCAAAATAAGAAATCAGACTAGCCCTGGAATCTTTCCTGAGTGTCTAAAATCTATTCAGCTCTGATCTCCAGGCTCTCCCCTTTGCTTCGTTGCAGACAGCTAGATTTACTCGCAGCTTGGATTTGTTCTTTTTGCCTACTGCCTGGGAGGTTTGCGATGCTTAGCTGCCTTTGTCTGATTCAGCATAGGGGAGGGGCTTTGTCTCCTGTTTTGCAACATTACCTTAGGAACCGAGGTGTATGCTGCTCATAGGTGGGCGGGGCAATGCAAGTCTCTGCCTGAAGAATGGCCGAGGTGGCAGTTTCTCTTTCAGATCCTTTCTCTGTGCTCATCATGGTCCTTGGGCGATCCATATGATGGACTGTGGTGACATAGGTGGCACTGGGGATCAGCTGTGCAGCTGGGTGCCAGATCTGGGGTGCCACCAGTGGGCTGGGGTGGAGGAGTTCCCTCCTCTGGAGCTGAGAGCCTCCGATCAGCACCTCCTTAAGATATGCTGTTCTTATATCTACTTCTTAGTTTGTGTTCTCACTCAACATGACTGCAGCACCCTCTACTTATTTGTCTCACCATTCCACACTCCCTGAGACCTCAAAGATGCCCAACTTAGGCCATCGTCTGTCCCAAGTTGTGCTAAAGAATGTTTTAGTATGTA